TCAGGACAACATTTTCATCATCAGTACATATAACATCGCTATCAACAGCAGCAGAGGGATGGACAACGCAAACTGACGGGCCATCTGAATCACTACCATCATCATCACTAACATCACTATTACCAACATCAGCTCATATAACATCGGCATCAAGTGCATCAGAGGGAAGGACAATAGAAATTGTTGAAACATCGCGTATTGATGGCGGGCCATCTGATAGTAATTCTATGACTGAATTGCCCCTTCCATCATCAACAACGTCAACATCATCATTAATATTAACATCAGCACATATCACAACATCATCAACAACGCCACAAGACAAGACAATGGAAATTGTTGCAACATCGCGTATCAATGACGCGCCATCTTCGAGTATTGCCAAAAATGAATCACTAGAGTACACGGAAATATTGACCCTTCCATCATCAACACAAACATCAAATTTATCGTCGATATCATCATCAGTAGATATAATATCAACATCAACAACAGAAATAGACGTTGATGGTACTGCACACCTTTCGACACCTCAGAATTATTCTCCAACAGCTACAGCTTCTCAATCGTCAAATCAGGAAAACACAACGATGGAGTCTACACTGCTTCCAACACCATCTGTATTATTTGTAAATGCAAGCACATCATGGCTGGAATTGAATCCAGGAATAAGCGAAACCATGAAGACGAAGGAACAGACGGCAGAATTACTGACATCTTCCTCGGTTAGTAGCAGCTCAATATTGGTATTGGAGCCAGGACAAACCAAAACCGTAATCTCTAAGGAAACAACGCCACTCTCACTTCGTTCCAGGAATATCACAAAAACTCAGGCAACAGTGTATTTGTCTTTCCCAACAGCTTCGTCGCCGTCATTAACGACGTCAAGAAKACCTTCCGATCTAGTTTCTTCGATGTTGTCCTCAACAGCATCCTACATGGGTACAATTGTGACTAGATCAACACCATCTCCTGTGGCAGCTTTTCCAAGTACTATCAGATCCTCACCGACTTCAAATCGAACAAATATGAGGTCATCATTATATTCAGAGCCATCCTCTGGATCGACGCATTTACAACCTACAATTTCATCTACAGAGTCACTCTCAATCTCACCCTCCAGGAGGTTTTCATCTTCTTTATCAACATCAGCTGAATTAACTTCAACGTTACCAACATTGGCGCCATCACTATCAACATTTCCAAAGCCAAAAGGCYGTTTATCAACAACATTATCGCTATCAAGTGTAACATTTAATAGTGACTCTCCTTCACTGCAGCCCAAGTCAAGGATTTCACAGTCTTCTGTATCGTTACCAATAACACCTTCAATTCAATTTATATCATCCGTGTCGGAAGATGCAGGGACGTCTTTGACTGTAGTATCATCAGCAACAGCAGTTACAAATGTACAACATTTACAGACAACATCGTTAACTTCAATTTTGCTGTRGTCTTCACTGACAGAGAGAGTAGAGACTGCAAGCTATTTCACAAAATCAAAAATAACTTATCAAGTAAGAAGTTCTTCAGAGAGTTTGCTTGTATCCACTAGATCAAAAATTTCACCTTCAAATGTGCAAGATGTAATGGCGACAACTTCTATTGTGTTYGCTGAAGACTATAAAGAAACATTTCTTATTGTCTTTGAAGGTAGTTGCCTTGCAGCAAGTGAACACAAAGCTTTTAAAAGTGCGTTCTTCACCACTATTAGAAGACTGATGGCCATTGAGAGCTCACTGATTGATATACTTGCAATCCAATGTGGATCTGTCAAAGTTGTATTTTCAATTAAATGTGAAAAATCAASCYAAATCCCAGAAATTCTTAATGACTTGGTGAAACATGGAGACTTTCAAGTRAACATGAATGGGATRATTTTCCAAGCAATAAATATCACAGATTGGGAAGCAACKACSCTGCATCCKAATCTCACCTCCACTCCACATCCAGATCATCCCTCYGTGTATGCTAAGGAACAAGATGAAAGGCGAGCTATCAAAATAACATTTATTTTATTTGCATCAATTTTTGCCGCTTTGACCATATTTGGAATAGTGATTTGTATAGCAAGGTCATGTGGCCGCAAGCCATATGGAAGACTAAAACTGTATTCCAGCACACTATCAACACGAGGAACTAATCAACTTTATAAGAATGAGTTAGAGCTAGTTAGACTGTCACCATTGCATCATGGGGCTGATTATTATGGCGGCCATGTGGTGAGCTCAAGAGAGGACTGTGCTGATGATGATGATAAGATTGATAATAGAACAGCACTSTTAAATAGACTAAGAAATGATGAAGTGGCATCACGCAGAGGGAAGATTATAGTCAAGGATGATGATTCTTATTCTAGTATTATATTTTATTGAGTACTATATAGTCAATCGAAAATTCTGACTGATTGACAAATAAACTTTTTAACTACACAGAACATTTGACTTAGGCCAAATAAGTAAAATATGGTAAACAGTTTGATTTCTAATCTTATTCAGACAGAAGAAAAAAATATTAAATTACCCATCATGCATCTGATACATTGATATATGTTATAGCGGTCAGAAATTTGACTGTATATGTACTCTCTAAATCAAAATGACGGTYTCATTAGTCATAAAAATTAGTTATTTACTAGAAACAAATTAGAATTTTATCAATTGAATATGAGCAATGTCCAATTTGCGTCACACCACACAGGGATAATGACAGTTATGAATTTGACCYTCTACCATAAAAAGGTAGAGGACAAGCTGAAGTATTATTGTTTGCCATAAATGTTGACATGGTGACAAATACTTTTGAGAGACAAATCCTAATGACAACCATGTTAGTGAACAATTATGTTATCCATGCACKAACATGACAAACAATATGTGATAAATCCTAGTTTGTATTTATACAATTTTCCAGCTTGATGTGCATAGTATTTATGAGTTATAYGTTCAATTTTAAAACTTTTTCCAATTACCACTATGCTTGAGGTAATTGGAGAATTTGTCTATTTTTTATTTTTATCATTGAGGTAGTAAGCTTTGCTTTCCTGCAAATATTTTGTATCTACAACAAGCAAGCTTCATTACAAAATTAACTGATAGAAAAACCAGAGTTCCACTTTATATGGTCTTCAGTCTCAAGTACTTAACTATAATATTAAATAAATACGAAAGCAAGCTTTTCTTGTGTAGTGAACGATAGTCTAGCGCCAGAGGAGGTGGTCTAGCGCTCTCGACTTCGCAGTAGAAATTGTTCATAAGCTTAAGTTATTGACCACAAATATATTCTGAAAACCTAGTTTGCTAAYTTAAAATTGAACATACCTGGTGGAATACTAAGTCCACTGAATACAGAAGGTGTATAGCTCAATACCAACGCTCTTTCGCAACGGTGTCAACGAAAGAGTCATGGAAGGGTAAGGTGAAAGACAGTGACAGACAAGAGCGGCAAAGCGCGCCAAAAAGTCTTTGACACAGGTAGCCCGAAAAGTTAGAAAAAATCATTTTGAGAATTTGAAATTAATACAAATGAAGTAAATATATCATAACGTGATGGCTGTACTGAAAAATTCTTACTTCATTATATGTTCATATGCTAGATCTTCTTCACTAAAAAATAAAATTGATTTTATTCTCTGATTAGCACTTTCAACGCCAGTCATCCTTTGAAGTCAGCAGTATCCCAAACAAACAAACATGGCGCTCGAACATGGCAGACATCAACAAAGAAATCGATAGTAAATTTTACATCTTTCTTCCTCAAGTTTTATCATCCAACCCAGTATTGGACATTGACAAAGGACCACGTTTTTCTTGCTTCGTTGGTGAACTACTTAATTTCTTTTTGATCGCCCAGTTTCGTGATAAGAAGCAGCCGAAAACTAATATAAAGAAGCTCCATGCAGAATGGAAAGAGCGGCTTCTAAAGCTAAGCACCTCTGTTAGTGTTAGCTGTATTGATGTTGGGAGTCACAAGGAACACGATTCCCAGTCAAGAGAAGTATTTAATACTTGTTCTCCAATCAGTTCATCAAGAAAACGAAACAATTCAGTGAGCGAGTCAAAACAGGTAAAAAAGCAAAAAAACTGTTTTTCTTATTGTATGACAATCTAAACGTGGAATAGCGAACCAATTATCTCTAATATTGAATTGTTTTTTAAGGAAAGGATTTCTTACGTTTTATTGATACAATTCTTTGCATCCTGACTTTTTGATCGCTTAAGAGAAGAAAAAAAATTGCAAGATCGTGAATCATGTTCATCTAAAAAAATCCATGAAGAACATCTGCTTGTGGTTTTGTGGATATGTGTTGACTAAAAATCAATTTAAACACTTTCGTAATTATTATTCATACTTTTTACCTAACTTAAAGATCATTTAAAATAAATTAATCATTGAATATGTAGCATTTTTAGCTTGCTGTAAATTGAGAATCGTTTTTAAAAAATGAGAAAAATCCGAACTGTTTAGAACACTGATTGCAGTATGCATGTTAATATGAGAGTCAATATTAGAAACTGATTTTTTGATGCACAGGAATACTAAATGATGCTAATTCCTTTTCCTATTGTGCAAATAAGATGATATTAGAATTGATTAGTATTGTTTGTCTCGCAGATTTACTTGAATGATATTCAAAAATGTACACACTAATTCCTTGAAACAAGCATTACTAATAAAGTGATAATTAGACAATAGCAGGGAAAGGAATTAGCACATTAAGCACTTATTTTGTCTCACTTGTTCAGTTTCTCTACTCCCTGCTCTCTCTAGTATATATGATATATTATATACCAACAATTTCTTTTTAGTGTACAAAGCCACTGGTGACAAATCATGGTGATATTATTTATCCTTTAACCGTGTCCCTGGATGTCTTYCCAGCTCTAAGTAGACGAATAAGACTATCAGTCAATGTATGGACACCTGAACTTAATGCCAAAGCACAGATTAACACACAATTACCATGGAATAGCTACTTTGATCTTTTTGTGCAACATGACCCTGATGAACTTTTTTCTGGAGTTCAAAACACCTTCCGCTGCCATGGTGAGTAAAATAGTTTCCAAATTGATGATAGTTGATCAAATTATCATAAACGCCCTTTGTGACCATGATGTATGTGTACTTAGTTTCAAAACATCTTGCTGATAATTTTTTTCCTTTTTTAGTGAATGCTACTTTACCAGTAGTGTCACCTCCAACAGTACGATGTAAATACAATGAGTTCAATGGAAAACACTACATATCTCTTGAAGGTAGACGATTTTAAAAMTATCCTTAAGTTGGGGATTTCTCACTTTCTAATATTTTTTTTATATATTCAGTAATAAACAGTCTAGGTGAACCAATCACCCTTGAGATGGTCAGTGTCCATCCAAGCTGTAAATCAGACAAAACGTCTAATACCTACTCACACATTTCAACAAGCCAAAGGTTTGTCATTATTTTGAAGAATACAGGGCTTAATGAATTAAACCAGTCATAAATGTATGAATTATGTGCAGAGTTGTAACAAACCTGGACATAAACATGCAGGTATACAAGTCTATATTTCTTTTCTAAGGAACTGTAGCAAGTTTGTGATGCCAATCAACACTAATAAGCACTGCACATGTCCTATTATACTGCTGCCATGGGAACATATATCATTTTTATACAGAGTTATACACCAAGACAATCACTGTTCAAAAGACAAAGTAAGTGACCTTTTATTTTTGCTTTGACTTGCATACAAACTTGAGTATACTAGAATCACATGCCATAAAAATATCAGAAACAAATGAATAATATACTTAGATTAATACATGATAATATTATTGATTTTTCAGTATTTTGAAATCCCTCTCATATCATCTATAACATGGAGTGTCGAAACTTTAAAATCACGAGAACAACAGGTTAAAACCATTTACAGGTAATGGAGATAAAGAATCAAGTAAATTTATAGGCTGATTATAAACACAAACTTGTGTATCTTTATATTTTGTTTTCTTTTAGTTTACCATTGTTCAATATCAGGCGGTCATCTGTCAGTGTTACAGCCTCATGTAAATCAATTATAAACAAAGGAAAAAGGTACATGCATTCAAATCACCATTTACCTTTTGAAATCTTGTTTTTAATACAATACCCCTACAGCTTTTGCATTGAAGAAGGTTAGATGTCATTTTGTTGACCCAACTATTGCCTATTTGGCTATGGACAAGTGTCAATGTTGCCGCTATGTTTTCTTCTTGTAAAACTTTCTTTTTTTCTTTGAGTGTTCTGGTTTCATGGACCACGATTTTCAYTAGTGTTACTTTTCACAAAATATATACCCCTTTGAAGACCTCATTGTTAGCAACCCATAAAAACAACAAAGAATAACTTTTTTCAGGTTTCAAGTAAGATACACTGTCACTAACACCGAAGAAGAAGATGAATGTAATGTTTGTTTAAAGTGGCAACCAGATAGCACTGAAAGAATGATGGCTGGGATGCACAATATTGATGCTGACTCACTTGTTTGTCTGCAACCAAGTGTTAGAATAGGGTATGTGATGGTGTGGTATGGAGCTTCTTGGCATTGTTTTCTCAGTTGTTGAAAACCTTGCGGGGTTACTGTGTAATTTTTATATGTACCATGCCATTTTCAAGTTACGAATGCTTTGTTGAGTCTTGCCAATGTTCTTCAATTAAGATTTAGTCTTCTGAGTTGGGCCATTAAACTCAGTGTCTTATTATAAAGYCAGTATTTTCTTGTGTTTTTAGATGCTGTCCACCTGGATCATCACTATCYGTTAATGTGGAATTCTTAGCTGTGCAGGAGGGACTGCATGAGGTACAAATACAATGACAAACATTACATGAAAATTACATGATTTTAATTGTGACTCATGTGTGTTTGCAGGTTGGGCAATTTATGGTGTGTCATTGGCATACTGGATCACAAGATAATAGCCCTATAAAAACTCCCTTCAGCACCKAGAAGGGACAGGATGGTTTTAGCACAGTATCTCATTCCTGTCAAGTGTTTGTTGTTCTTGATAGTTAGAGACCATATAATATTTATATATTTGTTTCAATGTATATTTATATCAAAAGCCCTTATACTATGGCTATCAAGTTAGTCAAAACATTTGGGAGGATCGTGGTTTGTCACTCATGACAGAAGCCAAATACACATCGCCTTAAACATTAGGATAATACGTGGCTGGCCACATAATTATTGTTACATTATTAAATCTTCAATGTTTAATACTATGACTTTCTTAAATAAGTCAACTAGCTTTAATATGGATCAAGTCTAGTGAATTTTTGTACTCAAGTTACAAAATGTCATAATATATTCTACAGTTTACAAATTGGACCATCCTTTATCATTCTCAACTAAGGTAATTTTCATAACTATTGGTCTTACAATTTTCATGGATTCCTTTATTTTTTCAACTTTGAAAACTCAGATTTATCATAAAGGGTATTTAGTGAAAGTATATTCTTGATTTTTAATATTATTTATGAGCAGAACAAATGTCTATTATAGAGGTTAATGTATAGTTCAGGTTCTCGTTGTACAAGGTGTTGCTTTGCAAAGTCAATAGGGAGCTTTAGATTTGAGAACYAAGACGAGGACGAGGACGAAGTTGGTGAGCGCGCACAACTTTGATGTGGTCAGCTTGCTCGCGCATATTCAAAAGAAATTCCTAATTCGCTCTGAAAAACTAATTTGACATGGTTTAGTTTATGCCAATCTTAGCACAAATTAAGGATATTTCCGCACATTTATTGCTCAAAGTAAAACAAGGGATGACCAAAGTCGATGTTCGTGCATTTTCTTCAGATTTTCAGTGRAWAATAAYTKTAAGAAAAGCTGATAAAAACTTTGTTTTGGACAGAACGAAGTTTGGTAAAAACTTCGTCGTCCTCAGCAAGGAGACAACGAAGTTGCGTGACATTTCATGAGATGTCGTAATCTGTAACGGCGAATTTTCGAAACTTCGTCCTCGTCCTCGTCTTCGTTCTCAAATCTAAAGCTCCCTATAACCATAGTTTACAACCAATTTGTCAATATTACTGCTGTTACTCCATAAAACTTAAAATTTAAAAATATATTACATTAGTAAGGCTGCTTGAGTGATCGCACCTAAACTGTGCAACTGTACAAACTAAACAGTGCTATTTAGTTGTATTTAGTAAATTGTGCATGTAGTACGCAAATTAAATTGAATTGATACAAATGAAGCATTCAATACTGTCTTGCTTCAGGTCCACTTTTAGTATAAATTAGTACTACTACTACTACTTTTTTGTACAGTTGCACGGTTTCAGTGCAATCACTTATTGTCTAATCAGTACTTTTTAGTAGTAGTGAGTACTATTTGTTTTATGGATTAAATGTGTCCACTCTYATATCACACAATGATAAATGTCTCATATGTTAGACAAAAAACATTGTAAAGACCTTATGACTTTTGCTCTCTTGGGAACTCGAATCCATTGTTTTGTCCTCCAGTTGGAGTTACATTCCCAGAAACTACAAGGGATCTATAGCATWATTATTATTTAGAAGTGCTTAGTGGTGTGATTGTTGTACACTTTTATTTTGTACTCCATTTGTAAATGTAAGCTGGGAATTAGAATATAGGTTATAATAATTTCTCATATAATTATATTCATAGTCAAATCCCCTAATCCAATAGTCAAACAATATAACATCAGTGATAGTCTATTATTTATTAGATTGTTATTTCATTGTTGGAATCCAGGTTTTTACTCGGAAAGAAATGAGGGAACCTGACCCATCCAAAGTCATTACATGTGGGGCAGGCACACCAACTACACTCTACCTCTGGGTTAGGTTTTCATGGGTAAATTAAAAATGATTATATAACAACACATGAGTTTATTGTTGATATGCAATCAATATTGCCCTTTTTATAAATATTACACCTTCAAAATTTAATAATCTGTATTRAATGACAAAATGTATTTACAAATGCCTGTAAATGATAAATTTGAAGTTTGTAAAGCATTAGAAGGAGTACATCTATCAAAGGCATCCAATAATATTATGTTTCTGATTCATTATATCATATGGATATGTTTACAATCTATGTTATAGGAAAAGAATTCTAAGTAAAAACATTCTAACTATTTTCTTGCGGTGCTGGCCTTTTTACCACAAATATCCTTTGATGTGATACTGTGGCCATAAGTATAAAGTCACCAAAATGAACTGAAAACACAATGAAAACAGGAAAGATGTTAAAACAGGAATTACGTCTTGATTTAAAAATGCTTCAACTTAGCCTCCTTTAGCAGTCACCCTGTGAGGCTGGCTTCAACTGTCAATTCAAATAATATGGAAATGACAATTAAATATACCTGACATTCTTTTAAATTTTTGTGTTCTATCACCAGATATTGGAATCATGGCAGCTGTGTGCAGCATGTCAACAAATACCCCTGCTAGTTTCTCATCATTTTCTAAATCTCCTGCAGACTAAAAAATATATAATGTTTTTTTCAATATTTTGCTTTGAGAATGGTCATAGACTCCATGAGGAAACAAAATAATTATGTTTTTTGTTTCCCTCATCCTTGTCCTCAAATCTATAGTGTGTGGATAGTCAAGAAAATGTGAAATGTGGGATACGGAAGTAAAATATGAAATGAAAGAAAAGAAATCAGCCATTTACAAAACATAAACCTTACCAGCAACACCAACTTGCTAACGTTGATTCCAAGGTTATAATGCATAAAATACCCCCCAATTTAATAAAATAACAATATAAACATTGCAAATTATGAAATAAAATGCATATTGGAGTAAGTCTTATAGTGAATAGCAGAACATTAACACAAGATTTCCATAATCTTTACTTACAGCGAGTACTGCCCCTTCCTGGTTGATAACTAGATAGCCCTGTGCATCAGGTATTTTATCCAAGCCATGGTTTATTGCAGTAGCCTAATTAAGTAAATTATAAAAATCTCGTCGATCAACTATCAAAGACTCGTTTGGTTATAAGTAAATGGGTAGGCAAACTTTCAGACTCAACGTCGTTGTTTTTCTTTTCAAAAAAAAAAACTTTTAAAACATGCCTTAATTAATGAGGTTATATAGACTGAAAGTGTATACTCACCATTGGAATATATTAAGTTTTTAAACAGTTCTTTTTATCGAAATATTGAAACTTTTCCGATCGATGCGATATCTTGCTTCTGTCACGAGATATGGCTCGGTAGCCAGGCCATTCTTGCGGACGAGTGGGATAAGGAGTCTGGGYATTAATTGATTGAAGAAATCAGAAAATTAGCTATAATTTCGCTTATTTCATAGTTTTCGCTCAAATATGTTCCTATTCCCATTTTTMRATTACATTCTCCTAGTAAAAGCTCCAGTCCTTGAGATTTCAGCTGCCAAATCACTGGAGATGTGGTCGAGTGAGTAATTTACTTCCAGAGTCAGTAGAGTCAAAAATGGAAAAATGCCATGTTTACGTTACAAGTTAGAAATCTGACGGGATTTTCCCGGATTATTCTCGCTTACTTATATACATAACCATATACTAACATAAACCACTTACGGCAATCATGCTTCCTAACCATACACTTAAAGAGAGCATACCCTAACATCAGTCAGACWTTGTGTCTGAGTATCCGGTCAACTCCCACCAGGAAATTCACTTTCTGAATTCGATTGCAGAAAACTGATCGCACCCATTGTCACTCGTTGTATTTATCGGAACTTCAACTCAAACAGAACGGTAAATGAGCAAAATAATAGCCGCGAATGGATTGAATGAAAGACAAAGAAGGTAAGGCCAATGCCATGTATTGTATAATAGATGCCTGCTTGAGATGATAGTTTTTGACAATTGATAGCCAAGGTGTAGTAGATCATTACAAAACAAAACAACCCTACACGGCTACAGCTATATTCGACTCTTTAAAAACCTATATTCAGAGCTTACTTCTCTCACTCTATCACGGAAGCTGCGTCAAATTATTTTTTTAATGTTTTGTTCATCGTTGTATGRTTTTCATATTGAAACAGAAACATAAATTTACGCTAAATATACATACTATATAGCATAAAAATTAGTATTTGAAGTCACAGGTTCAGAATCGTCTCTACTATATATCTTTGTGCGTATGAAGCACTTTTGATGAAACCGCTTTCGATGAAAAAAATGTAAAAAGAACTAAAATTCATTACTCTACATAGCATGACTGTTCCATTTCCCCACATTTTAGCAGAAARTGAACTACTGAAATAATTYGTAACATTGCGTTAGACGTCATGGCTCCATAGGATTTCAGTTTTACCCATCAAGTGTGATATTGTACCGGTAGTTGACTCCGGCCACATGACGGTAATACAAATCACGTTTTCGTTGATAATGGTATAGTTATTAAGGTGAATAAAATGAAGCTCTAGAAGTAGTTGCTATCAGCACGTCAAAGTCCCTATCAACGCCCGGAATATCTCACAAGAGACTAAATCAATGCCAAAACATAGTTATGAGTACAGAAGCAAAACGCTTGTGCCGGAAATTAAATTATTCATCAAGACATCAGTTTTTGTACTTGTGAATTCTAGGAAATTCTTTAACTGCGTCACTTGAAAGGAGTTACTGCTTTACTTTTCGATATTGACAGTATTACTTTGACGACGCAGMAGTTTCACTTTTCTATATGCTACGTCAAGTTTTTTTATGCTCACTTTACCTAAAGCACGATTCCCGATCAGTTTATGTCATAGCAATTRTGTCAAAGAGTTGGAAATGGCGTAGAGCACTCACTGGTGGTGATATAGARTGTAAGTGTTCTACTTACAACGTAGCGTGGTCAACAAATTACAAAACAATATAACTATATCAACGTGACTTAAAACTGTTATTATCATCATGATCCTCAAGAACTCTCGTGAATGGTTGTACGCAAGCATCCGTGCGTACGCGCACGACAGCTTCTCAATTTCAGTTTCAAATGATCATTCATAAGAATTTTGTTTTCGATATAGCTCTGTGACTAGCAGTTATTTCCCTTTCTTTGATATAGAGTGTTTTTAGTCAAAATCYTTATGATTTCGCAATGCATGCAAAAATTGTTTAATCGCTCCGTTAGTTCCTTATTTGTTTGACGTCACGGGTGACGTATGTAATACATAGTGGATAATTCATAGGATTTCAAGCGACGATCGAGTGTGCAGTCATTCAATGATTCAAAAAATGAGTGAACCGATGTCTGGTATGATGCCAAGGTAAGATTCACGTACCACATATTTTCTTTCTATTTTTATTGAAGTTATGATCTTTTAGAAAGTTTGCAAAAGGTAGAATTAGACATACGGTTATGAATGATAGTCTGAGTTATCCTTAAAATACGACTTCACCTTTTTGCCTTAATTTTAATATAAACACGGGTAATTGAGTTATACTCTGCGCTCATTTTTATGCTAATATCAAACCATTTTAGTGAGACCATTAAAATATAATTGAACGGTGAATTAAAGCTTCTTCATTTATGAAAAAAAAACAGATGTTCAAACAAAGTGAATTTTAGCTTCTATATTAATGAAGTATGAAGGAAATGGTGACTTAGCAACATGACGATTATTATTACTAATTAACTAAGAAGTAAATAACAATAAATACGGAATCACTGAATTCGCATGGTCACTTCTGTATCTTCATTGTTACATAATTATTGTTAAATATTAACGAAGCACGCGGAGAGCTATTGGCCGTAGAAGTAGACACATTGCGTGCTACACCTTATTTAGTTCATATCATACTAAGTTAATTAACATTATTGTTATCATCATCATTTCAATATTGACAATAATTACGCATATGTCAATTTGAAAACGGCACAATCAGATCTTACTAGAGAGAGTGAACCTTAATTGCTTAGTTATCCATATATTTCTGATATACATTATTGATCAGTATGACGGAAATTATTCCCTCTGCATTTCGCTTTTTACATTCCATTCCTACGTCCACTTTAGCACAGAAATAGAGTAGGGGCCTCCGGGTACGGAAATTCTCTCAGCAGGTTTCAGCAAGAGTATAATTACGCTATATTTATATGTTATAATAATGATAAGCTGACGTCTTCTATTAATCTTGGCGCGCATAGTCTTCTCTTTCTATCAATTATTCTTGCGATCTCATTATGTTCATAATTTCTCATTATATTCAGTTATGAAAGCAGAGATGCATTCTCTTCGTTGATACAAACTCTAAATAAGGCCTCTGTTTTCTAAAACTGCAACGCTGCGTCTACTGCACATGATTTCACATTTCATTGTAGTGCAAATATTTAAGCGGATATGTTTGCCAACAAGTGCGATATAACATGCCAAAAATAACTGGTGTAATGATCAAGGAAAATCAGGTTAAAATAGAACTGCAAATGACGTTGGATACAAMAGCAAAATAATAAAAATTTCCCTAAAAAGTGACGTGATCACCACATTTCGATCAAATATGTGACAAAATTTCGGTTTTTCAACAATCAGCAGTACGTTATCATGTGATGATTCAGAAATGTGGTGATTTTTAAACCTACTGGTAATCAGAATATTTGATAGGTGCGTACGGATCGTATTTAAGCTTATATATGCTTTTTAGCGCGCCATATATATCCGCGCTCTATGATTGGTCAATCCGACGTCCGGACATCACAATATGAATATGATACGTATGAAGATTGAATAATTGAATATATTTAGGAAATTTGCGTAAAAGCATTAGGAAAGTTGCTCACTACAGTCAATTTCAACTAGAGTCCAATTAATAGTTTTTAATTCATGCGCACCGCTTAATGTTTTGCTGCCYGCGAAAACCAAAAATCAAAATACGTCCATGCCAGCTTATCCTACCAATGATGATTATCTAAGCACAATATAATATTAGGTGACAATTTTACTATGACAGATTAAAAAAAAAATATGGATCATTCGACTCTGAAGTGGAAAAATGGCTTTCTGTAATGACGTCATGGATGTCTTGGTGTTCCCCCGCACAAATATCCCGAAATTTTTTACGTCGGCTGAATACCTATGATTAAAAGCATCAATTATCAATACGAACTTAAAAAGATCCCATATAATATATCATATAGTAGTTTTGACGTAATTAATACTATAAAAAGATATCCGGTGATGTCACGTTATACGAATATAATCTTCGGCATATTTCTAGTGGTTTCGGGATTCCGTTGTTTGTCCCCAAATAGTAATCATSTACGGTGACCTCTGAGGTTGAAATGATCTCTAAATCGTTTGGATGTTGACTTGTTTGGAAAGGTTGTACGTGTGTTTTGTGAGGAGTTGGTTCGGCAAAGGCGGAAAGGCGACGCTTATTTCTGGGAGTGAAGAATCCGTTCTGCTTGGTTTACAGTTCACCCGAAATTCGGTAGGAAATGATCAACTCTTTTTCTTTTGTTTACTGAATAATAATTTGATTTCTTCAAAAAGCAATCCGGTTTAGTAAAACTATGGCTAGATCAGAATGTCGTCGTAGAAAGGTCAAGATTGTCACCATATTTTCATTTTCGAGTTTACCAGCGAAAGTATATCGCGCTAGCGTTCGCGCTTTTTTGCACGACGTGTTTTGTAAGCAGTTCAATCGCGAAACTTGACTTCTGTTGATACCTCAGTGTATTAAAGCCTACAGAGAGTGATAAATTGTCTAGTAATGCCGTGGAATTGAGACAGACACAGATGAACCAAGTTTAATCTTTTTCGTCGCAAAGGTCAAAATCACTCGTGCTCAGTGAGTTACTAGAACTTTTATTTAGTCGTCATTGTGTGGAAAGACTTATGTATTGTGAGCTACACCCTCGAGATGCCGACACATCTGTCTACAGTGACCGCCCGCGTCACAGTAATGACCACTAATCGACCTGGTAATACACCTTCACAGACCACAATTCCTGCATGGCTCAGGAATTCGATGAAGTCTTCGAATTTTTTTTGGATGTGTTGTGACGGGACGAAGTGAGTTTCCGGCGCACTGGGGCAATGCGAACGAAGTCCTTTAAGAACTCAATATTAAAACATTGTTATTATAACACTTTGTCAAAAGGAACAATGCTTTTTCGAGCTGTCTGAAWTTTTTTTCAAAATAAACGGAAAAGAAAAGTCGCGATGCTTTTCTTGTTCATGCTGGTCAAATGGTTGCACCCTTTCCTGGCTGGGATGGGTTCACTTACCGTCCTAGCATCATATCCTGAATAAATAGTGTATCAGTAGGCTGCACTTACCATGAACTTATCGATTTATAGCAGAATCAATTTGGACCTTGTTTTAGATAGATTTTTTTAGATTCCAGAGTGATTTTGTCCACCGAAAATCCAATTGGGTCAATTAATACTTAGTAATTGCCTATAAAGAAGCGGACAATTTATATAATAGCATTTCCTGTATTTGCCGTCAAACATCTCAAAGTCTACCTTGGCGGCCTGTTTCAGTTTTTTAGGTAAAAGAGAAACTTTCGCTTCTAAGTTTTCATTTGCAATCCCATAGTAATACGAAAGTGTAGACTCAATATTAGATTTTTTTGCCTTTCAGCATGGCGCATATGATTGGTGGATTTATATCACGTGGTCAAGAAACAGCCCGTACGCGGAAATCGACCAAGGAAAGCGAATGGCACAAAATGGCGAACTGTCCTCCTGCACCTTCGCGCAATTCTGGCTTTTTCAGGCGGATAAGAGGTGGTTTAAGTGACGCCTTTACACATGCAGTTGCACAGAGGTTACAAATTGATAAAAGGACTATCGAGAAGTCATGGAAATTGATGGATAAAGTCGTCAAATTGTGTCAGAACCAACGCATGAACCTGAAGAACAGTCCACCATATATATTAGACATTCTACCCGACAGCTACCAACATTTAAAACTGATTATGACGAAATATGATGAGCGAATGCATATTCTGAACGATATCGAATACTTTAGGATTTATATTGAGAATCTTATGAAGCAATCGAAGCACGCCATCAAATTGTTCAAAGATGGGAAGGAAAAAATGTACGACGAATCGTCGCTGAATCGTCGAAGTTTAACCAAACTAAGCCTAGTATTCAGTCATATGTTGACAGAATTAAAGGCTCTCTTTCCTAACGGAACCTACATTGGTGAAGGATTCAAGGTAACAAAGTCTGACGCCAGAGATTTTTGGAAAAAGAATTTTGGAAACAAGTAAGTATAATAATTATTAGAACTTGATTGTGGTTGTGGGTTTGAAGTTCACGAAATTTAACAACAAATAATCTTAAGTTGAATGACATTTGTAATTTAAGTCTAATATATATTATCCTAAAAATCTTAGGAAAGGAACTTTGCCGTAAGAATTTAATGTATTTTATCTGTGAAATCGAGGGAACGGGTATGTTAGGATATCAAATATAATTCGTATTGTGGGAAATAAAGATAAATTCTCTGGTACTTTATTTACATTATATGGCTGCAAGTCTCTGAAAGATTAATTAATGGGTATTACAATCTCGCTTTTTTGATCTATTCCTAAATGTGGCCAGCCGTAAATTAAAGGGCTGTGTATGCGGCTCAATCAAGCAATCTTTTGATAAAAAAGTTAGCGAATGAAAAGGTTTGAGCGATAAGTCAAATTATGCTGCTGGTAGACATTCGAAATTTCCAGCTGAATTTTGATAGCCGTTTCCCTAATCCTTAGAATACACACCTCCATTACTTAATAAAAACATTTTGTTTAATGTCMCTAAAATAAGGTGTGAATTGAAAGACTGGAATTGGCTTTCTTCAAATGTACACATTAATTTGAGCATTATTGTTTGTTTACACCACCACAATCAATGTTACAACGTGGTCAAGTTTAAAGTTCTTGGAGAAGTGAAATTGTAAAATTTGCTGAAGCTATCCGATTCTTTGCTGTTTTGCAAAAGCATCTAAATTACTGTAAAAACCAAATTTATTGCACTTCAACAGACTTATTAGTTAGTCTGTATAAAAAGCAGTGGCCGTGAAATTATTAATCTGTTTGTATGTTCAATGGTCGTTGTCATTCAAAGTCGTTTTAATATTTTGACAGCTARGTTGTTGCTCTTTTCATAACATCTTTGATGTCTTATAGCTTCACCAGAAGGCTCACAATGGTTGATTTAAATTTTAAACCTYCTATTTAATGAGGGCTTTCATTTTAAAATTGACTTGTGTGTTGTACGTGTGGAGGCGTCGTAAGATCTGTAAATTTTATTTGTGATTTGAATATTCATTGTTTTAATGTCAAAAGTCCTTTTGAATACAATTTTATGGTGATGATTAATTTTTGCACATATATTTTTTTGTTTTGTTATTAAAACTATGTTATTTTGTGTATAATTATTTTGTATTTGATTTCTACAGTGTGTTTGTTCTCTTTGACAAAAGTCATTATTATAAGACAGCTGGCTTAATTCCTGCATTAGTTTTTATAATTTAATGTCTCTGATGCCAGTTCCAACTACAATCATCTTTTTTAGAGTGTACCTATCYATTTTTAAATAAAAATTCAAGTTATCATTGAATTGTAATTTTGTTTTAGGACTATAGTTCCCTGGAAACTCTTTCGGCAAACGCTCCATTCAGAACATGCTATATCATCTGGTTTAGAGGCCATTGCTCTGAAGTCTACCATAGATTTAACTTGCAATAACCACATATCAATTTTTGAGTTTGACGTGTTCTCACGGCTGTTTCAACCATGGTCCCACCTTCTTCAGAACTGGAACCTGTTAGCAGTAACCCACCCAGGCTATTGTGCATTTATGACATATGATGAAGTAAAGGCACGCCTGATGCAACACCTTAACAAGGCCGGAAGGTAGTGTTCAAAATCTTGTAAAAAGCTTATTGTTTTATACTATTTTAATATCAAATATTTACTGTATCATATTCTTTTTATTTGCATTCAATATGTATTTTTTCCAATGAAGAGCTTCCCAAATAATATTTGTTACCATTATTTGCATTGCTTGCTTCAACTAGCCCAGACTACATACATGACATGCTACATGTATTYGCAATTGACTGCCCTCAATCAAAATTTTCAACGAAACTGGCAGCTGGTGRGCTTTAGTTGATTGAAAGCAGTCAATGATTTGCAAATTTCAGTCTTGTCTGGACTAGTTGCATAGCAATGCAAATGACGCTTAGCTGAGCTCATCTGCTATTTTCTTTGTAGTTACATTTTTCGGCTGAGTTGCACAAGGCTTGGTCAGTGGGCAATTGGTTATGTTACACCAGAACACACCATTTTACAAACCATACCTCAAAACCGATCTCTTTGTCAAGCACTTATAGATGGAGCWAGGGAGGGATAGTAAGTAGTAATGTAAATTCTTTATTAAATCTATTTATTCATATCTTATTTTGATATTAAAGAGAATTGAACAAAAATTGAACATAAATTGTCATCAGATAAAAAAAAAAAAAAAATTGAACATAAATTGTCATCAGATATTATATATCTATTATAAATCTTATGGCAATTATCCCACATTTCTTTAAATTTTTAATTTAAAAGAAAAGGAAAGAGAAGGAAAATAAACAAAAATGTATTTAAAACTCAAGAGACTCATATTATGAGAGGGAGTGGGGTTGGGGTTGGGAGTGGGTGTAAAGGGGGTGGGGTGAGGAAATACAAAAAATATWCATAACAATCTGGAGCATTGGAATTAGTCCAATTTTTTCTTTCATTGAGTTGAAAATAATTTACTCTTTTTGTAAAACACTGGAATTTTTAATGACTTAAAGAAAAAAGATACTCATCTTAAATGCTGGATTTTCTGTACAATTCCAAAATAATATCAAGTMCTATAAAGCTATTATTGTTCAGTAGACATTTAGTGCCTAGTTTTGATTTATCATTATATGGCAGAATGTATTGTGGAGTTTACATATCTTAAATCATAATTTTATACAAATTACTAAACATTGGTTTTAGACGAAAAGATCACATGAATCGTCCACCCACTTATGTGGATATACATTCATGTAGTTCCATTGTCAGCCATCTTCACAATGTATGATATATCTCAGAGAATGGAGTTAATCCACTATAATTACACTCAAATATCTTGTCAACACTGGTTCAGTTCAACTTAAAGATTGTTTCCAAATTTAAATTTATTGAGATGTAAAAACATACTAGAAACATTCCAGTTTTACAGCTACAAGTAGAAAGGTTTTTCAAGATTTTAACATCAAAATTAGAAGCTGGTAGAGCAACCATATGATTTTTTAATTAAAACCATGGCTCAAGGGTTTCCATAGTAACCAGCTTAATCAAGTTTAAAGATCATTTCTTAACCAAGACCTCTTCCATGTAATACATTCTCACTTACTGATAACTTCTCAAAATCAATGCATATGTAACAGTTTGATTTTTTTTACTTCAGCTACCTGTACCCTGATGGTAAAGATCAAAATCCAGACCTGCAGCTCTTTCTGGTCACTCCCCCTGACGAACACATCAAAGTCACAGAAGAACAGTATGAATTATACTGTGAAATGGGATCAACGTTCCAGTTGTGTAAGATTTGTGCCGAGAATGATAAGGATGTAAGGATTGAACCTTGTGGGCACCTCATGTGTCATCAGTGTTTAGAACAGTGGCAGGAGAAAGGGGGCGATATTTGCCCGTTCTGTCGATCAGAGATCAAGGATATACATAATATTGTCGTAGACCCTTTTCATAATGATACCGAAGAACGAGCAGCACGGCGGAACAATAATAATGAAAACAGCGAGGAGCCACCAGAGTTGTATGATGATGATCTTGAGGTTAGTTGAGATTTGAGATTAGTTAAGTATATGTCTATCATTTCAAAACTGATGATGATGATGATGATGAGATGATGATGATGATGATGATGATGATGATGATGATGATGATGATACCATTACATAAGTTTTCTGTTTTTTGTAACTGATTTATCTTTCAATAGTATCCCCCAATGAGCTGGCCAATGACAGTGGAAACTCACTCCCAACAACATCACAGTTCACCAACTCTTGAACACAGAGACAGTGAAAAGAAACCACCGCCATTGCCACAAAGAAGGAATTTCATAACACAAATGAATTGCCCGACTTCACCAACACTTGTCGTCACACAATCATCACCATTTGCTTCCCCTAGGAACACACCAGGTGCATCACCGCGTAACTCCCCCTGGAATTCCCCCAAAGGATCACCTTTTGCATCACCAAACGTCTCACCTCATGCCTCGCCATCAACATCGCCGTCAACATCTCCAACTGCATCTCCATCAGTATTTCGAAAACCACCACCACCAGTTCCACCTTCAGACTCGGACTCGGACGGTTCACCACCAGCTATTCCAGAAAGAAAGTACAAAGTAAATGAAAAAAAGAATAAAACCCATTCTGGTATCGCAAGTGGGAAGGCACCATCCAAATCAAATTTTAACAAAACTTCTGCCAAGCTCAACTACGCAGAACTTGCCTACCCAGCTCCCGATGTACAAAAAACGGTCAAAAACAAAACAGACACTTCGTCACCTCGTGTAGATAAAAACCATACCTCAAGTCAGCTTCCAGAGTATTTTGAGGAAGAGGAATCGTCATATGATGTGCCGCTACCGATCGTGAAACAGAAACAAACGCACAAAGAGAAGACAGGGAGTAACAAAACAGAACAGAATGGTTTCAACAACATTTTTGCACAAGATCAATTTGATCCTTTTGCAGACGATCCATTTCGAGGCACAGACTGGCCTCCAATGTCCAATGAAAGCAATATTAGTGTGCACAATAATTTATTGTACAATATGGAAGTTACAGGGCCAACAGGGAAACATACGACCAGAGGGGGCTTTTCCAAATCCCATTCAACAGATAGCGTGCTGGATGATTCCTCCTCTCAAAACAATACAGGGAGTTCGCCTGAAATATCGAGCAAAAAGCACGATCATCTTCCACCAAAAAATAAAAATGCGCAGAACAACCGTGAACATGTAAGGAGAAGCTGGTCAGGCCCAGCCCACAGTTATAGTAACCCCGCCTACATGGGAACGTTTGATCCCAGGCACCTCGAGGGTAGCGAAGAAGAACAGAAAGATGTGCTGCCCGGGAATAATCACGAAGACGACAATATGGAATTTTACGAAGAGGACTTTCAAATATTAGAAGCTCAAGGATATTCGCGGGATGCAATCAAAAGAGCACTGATTGTCGCTGATAACAATTTTGCAATGGCAAGAAAAATTCTTAAAGAATTTGCTCAATCAAATCCAAATCAGTAGTAACGATTTCGCTTAGAAATGAAAATAAAATGCATTCATCTTACTAGTGGCACGGCCTACTTGTAGATACCTGTCGACAAAGGTTAAGCTTTTAATAGAATGATAAAACAAAATATGAAAATAAGTAGATTTTTGATAAATTCCAGTAATACACACCAACAATATTGATATCAGACAATTCAAATCAACAATAATTCACCTCTGAAGTCGATAGAAAAATATTATATGTTAAAATTGTAAAGATAGTTTTAATTTAAAGTCTCAATAATAAATTTATAAATAAACATTGAATTCACCAAGACATGACTTAAATGCACAAAAACCAGAAAAAAAGGCTATTTTTATGCACGTATGATAGTATATTATAGGATGAATAGTTAAGTTATGCATGTACATATTATGATCTAAAAGATGTATAGCAGGAAAAACAGAGAATAATGAAACAACTGACACTGTTATGTTCGTAACGTAGATTTTTTATCTTCAATGGATAAAGCTTATTAATAGAAAAGTGCGTCCAGAAGAAACATTGCGGACGCGCGGCGATAGAAAATGATAAGATAGAGAGCGAAACAAACTCGAGTGTCTTTCTCATTTTTAGCTCGGTGTTGCGTCTGTGTTGCATCTCACAATTTCGTTTTCTCGCTTTTGCAATGCAATCAAGCAAAGTAGAAAATTGTCTAATTTAGTTGGCACCCTATTTACTTTTGTATTGCCAAAGCAGGACGACATATCTGATCAACATTTACCAAATAATTATTTTTCTGTAACTTAACTAAATGTGCAATTCACACGCTGCAGCTGAGTAAAAAAGGGATGCTGTCAAGACGTGCGAATCCGTCAACACAGTTTACGGTGTCGATGCACTTTTATTTGCGCATTTGTGGTATGACAACTCCCTATATAAGGCCCCCACCTATTAGCTACCAACTCAAACATACACACCAAGAGCGCGTGATTTTATTTAAGTGTTTTCGTTTTACTTTTCACATTCGACATCCACCAGACCAATTAACTTCTTTATTGTGCACGTTTTTCTTTCGCTTTTCGTCCATTATGTTCTATGACTATTCCACTCCATCGATGTGTCTACTCCTTCGTGCCAAAGGGGGGTTCCATTTTGTTTTCGCATTTCCCTAAAACGAACRTTTTTACTGTGCCTCTCGAACTGTATGTAGCGTGAATGTATTTAATAAAAATTCATTGTACGATGCGTTTTTTAGACCTATCATTTKTTTTATTTTTTATTGTTTTTATGCTTGAGGGGGTTCCTAGGAACCCATGGAACCCTCCTGGATCCGCCACTGTTACAATTACCCAGCATAATATTGTGCCGAGGGTGAGAGCGCATTAATTGAACTAAAAAACATGCATTGTAAAAGTCTGGACTCAGAGTTCATTTATGCTATAGACCTAAGTCATAGCAAATGCATCGTGATCAATCTGACGTTTGTTTTCTTCTTCGTCCATRTTGACGTACGGTTGACTACGATCACCCGTTGAGCGAGGATAGCGGTCAGCAATAGAGTCAAAAACATTCTCAATCAACGTGAATGGATTTTTCTTTTCATATTCATSKKATGTGTTATCTTGGAAAGTTAAAGCAACTTGGTCTTTTCCAACGCTTTCCGCTTTAGCTTTGAAGGCTGCCTGGGCTGCAGTCGCTTCCATTTTCTTATACTCTTCAATGTTTTGAAAAGTTTGAGCGTATTCATCAATTTTGGTCAAGTCTTGATACGCTTGTATGAGAATGTTTGACGGCGTCATGTCGCTTTTCATTTGCTCAGCGAAGTATAAATCTGCTCTTCGCTTTCCTTGTTCTTTGGCTAGGCCTTCCATTTTRGCTTTAAAAGCGTCGACTGCAGCTTTAGCTTCYAYTTTCAAGTAAGAATACGGACTAGGGATAGKGGATTGAGGTAGTAAACAGCAGCATCGATAAGCGGTCAAAATAATGAACGGTATTCCTAACATTAACGCGAGAAGTGAGAATGCAATTATCTGAGAAGTGTCMCTCGCACTTGTAAACTTTTCCAAGACGACTTTTTGTTGTTGTGCTGTTTTATTCACTAATCRTGCGCTTTTATTACCAAGCATTGCACAGGCGTAGTACTCGCCGTTGAGAAATGCCCACACAATCCACAAACAGCTCGCAACAGAACTGTAGAATATGACTTCCAACAGCTTCTTGCTACAGCCCCATCTTGGGTAGAAACATGGGCAKATTCGTCGTTTGATTCCTAATCCAGGAAACGAACCATAATGACAGCAGCCTTGAGCAATTTTCCAAAACCCATCGTTYAGAAAAAGCGAAACAAAAAAGAGACAAATACCAGGTGCGAAAATAAACATCCATCCATAAGGACCATAYTTTTTAGCAGGGCACTTGAATAAATTTTCACTAGAAACGATCGCTTGCATTCCGAATACGAGCAAAACCATTACAACATTTCTAACGGTGCCACTTTGATTCTTGAAAGCGGTCTGAAGGTTTGTGAACACTGCTGCCATAGAAATCYCCATTTTGAATSCGTATTTGTCTCAGTGAGACACGTACTCTGCTTTGTTTTTGATGCTCAAAGTCACGGTTTTGCGTTACGTATCTTYGACTTGGCATTAAATATTTGATCCCCTTCAATAAATATGGTAATCATTATATAGAAAAAAAATCACGAAACGAGCAGAATGAGCGAGGCGCGACGAATACTTACAAATATGGTAAAAACTTTTAAAAATATAAAAAGGTTTGATCAATAGAGTGATTTTCATCGGACTGTGAAATAGTTCCTACGCTAATAGACGCTAGTAGACTCTACAGCCATTGCTTTCTATTATTGGAACAACTATTAGACACTATTAAACACTGACTAATAGTACAATTAGTATGTACTATATACCCTATTTATTTTCACTTGATTACACAGTTTTAGGCATATACGACTGTTGCTTTGTTCTTACATTAGAGTTTCAGATTGACTTCCCTTTTTTCTTTTCCTTTGTTTGCTCGAGGTCCAGATTGTTTTTCTCTGTTTTCCATGTTCCTATTGGGATACTTATCATCTATAAAGTTCTGTCTCACTTGSCTTACATCTACGTTTTTGTACTCCTCGCTTCAGGACTGTTTTTTTCAACGTTCTGTAGATCTTTTGCCTCCATAGCTTTCTTTTTACCCAGGACAGCACAGGCGTAGTATTCCCTTTGAAATAACGCCCAGGATYTCCACAACACACAGATAACGCAGCATTCAAATATGACTGTACAGAACTGTACATTCTGCTTAATCCAGTGACTGTGAGTCTTGTCTTTGTTACTACAGTTTACAGTGATAACAGCAGCCTTGAATACGTTTTCTGAACCCATCTCTTACAAGCAAAGATATGAAGGTGAACAGAAACCCWGGAAATCAGATGAACGCCCAGCCATAGAAACTATGATCTTTTGTTGGACAGACAAACAGAGGAGAGCGATGGCATTARGTAAAGTAGTAATTTGCCCTGAAAGGAGAGACTTCGCTGTCGTAAAGAAACCGGTATATCCAGGCATTTCGTCGTTCGATATAATGAAACTCGGACTGATCCTTCAAATGTTGAAAACTGAGTTCTTGGAAAGATAAGGCTYAGACGGCACTCCTAGTCACACAAGACAGGCCGATTGTAACGTAGTCAAGAAAATGTTTCGRTCTAAGAGACGTTGCGATAGGTCGAATTAAAAATTCACTTAGAAAACGGATAAGATGTCAGTTCTAKAATGTAATCAAAATCGGGAATTTTGATATGGCATGGATGTGATTGAGGATTGAGGCTAGAATGTTCCATATTCAATTTATATTAAAATAAGTTATTTTACGACATAATTTGCTTTAATAAGTAATTATATGATAAACAGAATATTACATCCTCTATTTTCTCAATTTTCAAAAAAATAGCTAGCCTGACTTCACGCTCTAAGAGCGTCTAGGTAATTTTACAAGGACTAACTGAATGATCTTAGAAAAGAGACTTAACAGTAGTGACGCGTGCGCAGTTAAATGCTAGTT